GTCCGATCGGTTTGACCGTTTAAACGAAAACGGCCCAGGTGTTACTATAATTTGCACTACAATATTGAATGCCCGATACGCAATACGGAAATGACGACACGGTGTACATGCACATTTCGATCAAGATAATTGAGTCCGAGCTGTACTTTTTCCGGAAGTACGTCACGAAAATGGACGCTGATGACGATGTGTGGAGCCACCTTAAGCATTTGTTCATTCTGTATCTGTCTGCACTTAACTTTTGTTTGTGTCTATCTATCTATCTTTATCCTTTCTTGTGTCCCTGTATTTCATTCCCTGTTCATTCCGTCTCAATTTTTAATTCAATGATAACTGTGTCAGTCTGCTGTCCTCCATTTGTTTATCTACCTGTCTGCCTCCTTACCTGCTGTCCTCCATTCGTTTATCTACCTGTCTGTCTCCTTACCTGCTGTCCTCCATTTGTTTATCTACCTGTCTGCCTCCTTCCTTGCTGTCCTCCATTCGTTTATCTACCTGTCTCCCCCCCTACCTGCTGTCCCCCATTCGTTTATCTACCTGTCTGCCTCCTTGCCTGCTGTTCTCCATTCGTTTATCTACCTGTCTCCCCCCCTACCTGCTGTCCCCCATTCGTTTATCTACCTGTCTCCCTCCTTACCTGCTGTCCTCCATTTGTTTATCTACCTGTCTGCCTCCTTCCTTGCTGTCCTCCATTCGTTTATCTACCTGTCTGCCTCCTTGCCTGCTGTTCTCCATTCGTTTATCTACCTGTCTGCCTCCTTACCTGCTGTCCTCCATTTGTTTATCTACCTGTTGCCTCCTTACCTGTGAAGAGAACCAGGGAAGGGCTCTCATTCAGAGCCACAGCTTCCCCTTCCGTTAGAGGATTCAAAGGCTTGGGATACCATGGGAACTCCTAGATAGGGAAAAATACAATATTGAGTATTAACTGTTATATTAAAATGTTGAGAATCATACTCTTAATGTATGAATAGCAATAAATAAAGATCTGTCAGTGTCAGATTTCTCAGAATAAAATTCTAATTTTGTGTTTTAAGGTATGTACAGAATGATGGACTCCATTGGTTAACACTATTGAATTTTGATAATGAGTTCACATTATTGTTGGTTACGTTCCCCTTCACGACCGAGTTGTAAATCATTCATGATTGTACCAACACACCAGTCCATCTTTATCCACATTGACTGCTGTTCGGCCATTTAAGGTGACCACCTCTCCATTGCCATCAAGGATCACAAAAGTGGGAATACCTGGAACATCAACAAAACATCTGTCATAGCCTAACTAAAAAAAACTCTTTGAATAAAGACAGAGATACATTAGATCTGGTTAAAATTATTTTGAACTTCAATAATTCTGAATAAAAACAAGCATTGTGGCACATAACAAAGTACAATATTATACTATTAGTATGGGTGGTCGGGTGGCGCAGTGGATAACCACTCGCCTTTCACCAAGGCAGCCAGGGTACGATTTCCAGATCGGATATGAAAAGGTATAAGGTCACATGCCCAACCACGTGGGTTTTCTCCGGGTACTCCGGTTTCCTTCCACATTAAGACCCCTGCACGCTAACATCCGGGCCAACAAGAGTGATTAATATAAGTTGTATAACTTGTTTCATAATTGTTGTAAAATAAATACCAGTTAAAGTTTATATACCAATAAAATGACATACATATACTGAAAGAATTCATTAAGAAATGCTCAGGCATTCAGCATGTATTGCTTTGGAAAGAATTAGTATAATTGGAGATTTGATAACTTGACATTGGCATAATTTCAACAAACTTTATAAGTGCTGCATTCCAGGATGCTACAGACCAAATACCATGACTCTAAGTGTTTTGGTTATTCTGAAGAATTTGATTTTCAAACATGTTGCCAATGGAGAGACAGACATGTCATGTCACAGCATAAAATCACCTACCCTTTCAGTTCATGAGCTAATAATGTAATAATGTTAGAAATTCATATTTTTTACTTTGTGTCAGTTTCTAACTATCTGCAGGACTTTATGGCATTACGTAAACTTGTTGCTTAAACTAGTCAAGAAAACACTGAACAAATACTTGAACATTTAACATTCAAGTTTGAACTAAAATCTATTTAATAGACATAAAATATTTTATTTGAAGTTTGAAAAGACAATTAGCTAGATTTTACACATGGGAGTCCAGATACATATTCTCAGCTATCTTTCCTACAGATTTTCCAAAACTTATATACAATAAAAACACAATACATCTCCAGCACAAACGCAGGCATACACACATAGGGAGATATTAGCCAGGTGGAATAGGACTAGTAGTTAGCGCCTGATAAGGCAGCTCCTTTGAATTCCTCAAAATTGTATTGATTTATGTATATGCTAATTGTATTGATTAAATTATTATTAAATGTAAATGTTAACTGTACTGATTGAATGAATTGTAAATGCTGTAAAGCACTTTACAGTGGCTTATTATAGCTAGATAGGGGGCTTTACCAAATGTTGTATATCTACTTATTTATATTTTTATGAGACACCTAGCCATATTTTGTAATTAACAGTAACACATAGAAAGCAATGTACCAAGCAGACCCATTATTTTACTACTGACTGCGGCTACTACCATCACTTGTACCATTGATAATGGTCAATAACGGACAGTGATTCATTCCTTAATCACCCGGAGAACAATCTAAAACCGTACTATACTAAAATAATGCTTATTTCCCTCAAAGGAATTTCAACTACTTTGTCTATTCTTCTGATAATGGACAATCAAACAAAAGCACATTAACAGCTTAGTCCTCGGGCAGTACAATGGAGAGCGGACTGAACAGCTTGGTCCTCGGGCAGTACAAAGGAGAGCGGACTTCACAGCTTGGTCCTCGGGCAGTACAAAGGAGAGCGGACTCAACAGCTTGGTCTTTGGGCAGTACAAAGGAGAGCGGACTTAACAGCTTGGTCCTCGAGCAGTACAAAGGAGAGCGGACTTAACAGCTTGGTCCTCGAGCAGTACAAAGGAGAGCGGACTTAACAGCTTGGTCCTGGGGCAGTACAAAGGAGAGCGGACTCAACAGCTTGGTCCTCGGCAGTACAAAGGAGAGTGGACTTAACAGCTTGGTCCTCGCACAGTACAAAGGAGAGCGGACTTAACAACTTGGTCCTCGGGCAGTACAAAGGAGAGCGGACTCAACAGCTTGGTCCTCGCGCAGTACAAAGGAGAGCGGCCTCAACAGCTTGGTCCTCGGGCATCAAAGGAGAGTGGACTCAACAGCTTGGTCCTCGGGCAGTACAAAGGAGAGCTGACTCAACAGCTTGGTCCTCGGGCAGTACAAAGGAGAGCGGTCTTAACAGCTTGGTCCTCGGGCAGTACAAAAGAGAGCGGACTCAACAGCTTGGTCCTCGGGCAGTACAAAGGAGAGCGGACTCAACAGCTTGGTCCTCGGGCAGTACAAAGGAGAGCGGACTCAACAACTTGGTCCTCGGGCAGTACAAAGTAGAGCGGACTTAACAGCTTGGTCCTCGGGCAGTACAAAAGAGAGCGGACTCAACAACTTGGTCCTCTGGCAGTACAAAGGAGAGCGGACTCAACAGCTTGGTCCTCGGGCAGTACAAAAGAGAGCGGACTCAACAGCTTGGTCCTCGGGCAGTACAAAAGAGAGTGGACTCAACAGCTTGGTCCTCGGGCAGTACAAAGGAGAGCGGACTCAACAGCTTGGTCCTCGGGCAGTACAAAGGAGAGCGGACTTAACAGCTTGGTCCTCGGGCAGTACAAAGGAGAGCGGACTTAACAGCTTGGTCCTCGGGCAGTACAAAGGAGAGCGGACTCAACAGCTTGGTCCTTGGGCAGTACAAAGGAGAGCGGACCTAACAGCTTGGTCCTCGGGCAGTACAAAGGAGAGCGGACTCAACAGCTTGGACCTCGGGAAGTACAAAGGAGAGCGGACCTAACAGGTTGGTCCTCGGGCAGTACAAAGGAGAGCGGACTTCACAGCTTGGTCCTTGGGCAGTACAAAGGAGAGCGGACTTCACAGCTTGGTCCTCAGGCAGTACAAAGGAGAGCGGACTCAACAGCTTGGTCCCCGGGCAGTACAAAGGAGAGCAGACTTCACAGCTTGGTCCTCGGGCAGTACAAAGGAGAGCGGACTCAAAAGCTTGGTCCTCGGGCAGTACAAAGGAGAGAGGACTCAACAGCTTGGTCCTCGGGTAGTACAAAGGAGAGCGGACTCAACAGCATGGTCCTCGGGCAGTACAAAGGAGAGTGGACTCAACAGCTTGGTCCTCGGGCAGTACAAAATAGAGCGGACTTAACAGCTTGGTCCTCAGGCAGTACAAAAGAGAGCGGACTCAACAGCTTGGTCCACGGGCAGTTCAAAGGAGAGCGGACTCAACAGCTTGGTCCACGGGCAGTACAAAGGAGAGCAGACTTCTTTGGGCAGTACAAAGGAGAGCGGACTTCACAGCTTGGTCCTTGGGCGGTACAAAGGAGAGCGGACTTCACAGCTTGGTCCCCGGGCAGTACAAAGGAGAGCGGACTCAAAAGCTTGGTCCTCGGGCAGTACAAAGGAAAGCGGACCTAACAGCTTGGTCCTCGGGCAGTACAAAGGAGAGCAGACTCTCTACTAATGAATGTGATTCATTAAACATCAGATGTAGAAGCAACGCTGCACTATTCAGTACACACAGGGTAGGTCAGTATAGGCTAGCAGCCTTTATATCGGTTAGATGTGTGCTAAAAACAAACAGAACAGAAACAAACAAAAATTCACTGATAGTATCATGCTGAAGCTGCAGAATCAATGATTTTACTAATTAAATTAAAAAATATTTTTTCTTTAAAGCCAGGAAACAGCTGATGTACAAATGCCTAGAGGGTTGCTTTTTGCTTTACATCCCTCAAACTCAATGGCTAATTTGATTATATTTCTTTTGTTTTCCCAGCAGCTGTTGTACATATAAATTTGCCTAGAGGAATGGATTATTTTGTGATGTCTTTTTTCTGTATTCCTCTAACATCCTACGTGTACGTGGCGTTTGATTGTTTTTATATTGGGGCCTTGTAAACTCGTACAGCAAAGAGGTAGATCAAAATAGGTTCCAACACTTACACAGTGTTTATTACCGCTATCTACAGTTTCCTTCTCATCAATACTAAATGATAGCACGAACTCTAATTCTATCGAGGCCCCAGTTATGCAGACACATTTAGGTCCAACCTCTCAATGTTACAGAAACACACACAACTCTCTGTCCCATTGATTTCGTTTTTGGAATTTTTCCCATTACACATTTTATTTGCACATTTGTATTCAAATCACTTATTTGTAACCCAAATGAGAATATTGCTGGAGATATATACTCCCATGGGTATATCTGTTCTTAAAAAATTGTAGAATTCTGGAACATTTCAAAGTTCGTTGATTTTTTTAGAATGACGGTCTGTCTGACTGCACATTGTTTTTAGATAAAACTACTAGTACAATACTAAACAAATCAAAAGGACCATTGGGCCTGTATTGCACAGTGTATAGTTGTTTAATTTTTCGAGGTAAATGTTTGGCAGCTGTCCCAATCAGAACATTGTTATCAAGCTTTGTGTTACTTTTGTATTTTGAAGATGGGATTTATTTTACAAGTGTTTTGTGAAAATTACGTAAATGTGATGTAGAACTGCTGTTTATTCTTCATCATTTGGCAGCAAAACGGTACACAGATTTTTTAATTGAGTCTGTAAATAATTATTTACGGGGATTATAATTCATGGTACGTACATTTACTAATATTCGCCGAGTATTTAATTTCACACTCTCTTTGGTGACCAGGAATATAGCGAAATAAAATCCTCCACAAATATTACTCTCACCATTCCTGTTAAAGTGTTTCTTTTGTTATCGAGACCGAGGTTGACACCTTGGATTTTCGATCATTAGCTTCCCTTCTTAGCCCTTAGAATCTCCATGTCAAATAACATTCTAATCCTTCTTCTGGAAAGGTCTTTAAAAGATTTTTTATTTGGCCATGCCCATCTGAATCCTGGGGTACCACAACCTTCATTTAACCACTGAATTACACTGGCCCTGGGATGCTTCATACCAAATTAAGTCAAAATTGCTTTAACCGTTCTGGATTAGTTATCTTTTAATTGAAATGTTAACTGATGCCAGACTCTGCATTATGGAACCTGCTCACTCAGAGCCATTTGAGCCACTGGTTACCTCAAAATTAAAGCGGTACATGTCTAACAATATACGCCCGTCAAATGCCATATTCTGTAGTGTTATATACTTTCTTACATTGAAATAAAATCTGCATCATTCTAAGAGTGGTTCGCTGACATGCTATAAAAAATGTAGGAGAAAATCTCCGGACAAAAAAATCAAATACTGAAATAAACAAAGGGCAATTACTTATGCAAAATTGTTGAATCAAAATTCTTTTAAGGGAGACACAACTTCATATCATGATTATAATGTATACCAAGTTTCAAAGAGATCCGTTGAAAAATGTAGGAGGAGATTGCCGGACAAAATTCAAATACTGAAATGAACAAAGGGCAATAACTTTTGGAAAAATTGTCGAATCAATAATACTTTCTTCAAATTTGACGGGTGTATAAAAAGTGTTCAAAATAACAATCTTAAAAGTTAACCATATGTAAAGAAACCCTATTCTTATTTCTACTTGTGTGGGCCTGAAATTTGATTTTAAGCCTTTCACCCCTAATGTCACATTTGAACCTTGCCAAATCAAAGACTAGGCAAGTCCAGTTGAGATATGTAGGGGTGAATGCGTTAATCTTTTAGTTAATCAGTTAGACCTAACCCTACCTTATAGCCCTCCAAACAATATATATATGTACATATATGATAACAATCTATAACCTGTCACAACTTTATTTTATTCATGTAAGAATGCCAAATAACCCTGGAATGCAGTCTTCACAATTTCAAGAGAATGTGCCTTACCATCAACACCAAATATAGCTTTGAGCTTCTCCATCCGGCTATCACCGAACGGTATGGCCCACCAGGGCATGGTTTCCAGGTATTTACTGAACGATTCTTCACTGCGGTCCGACGACACAAACACCACCTCTATGTGCTTCCCAATGGACTCCAGCTTCTCATAAAGCTTGATCACCTCCGGGGTGAACGCTCGACAGGGTGGACACTGCAGTAAAGGAAGGACAAATAATGTAACAAACAGTTCCTCACAATCTTTTTCATCCCTTGCTTTTTTTCGATTTCAGAACATTTTATTGTAACGATCTCAAGTACAAACAGGTCCTTGCATTGTGGGGAAGATGGGGAAAATTCAACCCAACAATTAAAAAAATAAATAAATGTAAAACCCTAACCCTATACTGGAGGGTTTGACAATTTAAGAATCCTAAATACCCTGAGGGTTGAAATTTTACTATCTCATTCCCAAAAGGATGAATGAACTTTTTTCTGTAACTCCTAAATGTGGAAATGATTTTAATTTTCTTGCTCTAACATTGCAATTGTTTCTGTAAAAAGAATGCTTTGTATGCAAATATCCAGCTATATCACCTGACTGTAAAAAGTGATGCCATTGAGTTGTTTTCAGTGTGACATTACAGAAAACAGACACAGGTAGATCATGGATACACCTGTCTAGGGTAAGAGTGTGGGAGACGGATATGCCTGTCTGCCAAGTGCAAAAGAATATATTGTCCATCATATGTTAAAAATTCTTTGGTGTGGCATATCCCCTGTGAACAGTTGACCCTAGATAAATGTCTGATGACATGTGGCTTTCATTTTCTAAAGACGAACTGGTCATACAGAAATAGGGCTAATTAACAGTGACTGACCACACAGACTGTTTCAGGTATTGTGTAGACATCACACAAATATTCCATCTACACCAGACACCACAAACTATTAACTTCAAATCTGAAAAAAAAACGTGTAAAACAAAATGTAAAATTTCAGCATTGCATAAGGTATATCTCTCAATTAACACAAACGGGTGAATTATCTACTGGATAGGACTGGTAGACACTAAAGCCAGAGGACTACAGTACAATATAGTGAGGAACAGATTGGACACTAGAGCCAGAGGACTACAGTACAATATAGTGATGAACAGATTACAATTACTGCGATGTACACACAGCTCTGGGAAGACACAGAAAGACATTGTCAGACAGCAGCCCACCAGGAAAACATTGTAGGATTTCTGAGGGCCAAATCCACATCAAATGGTGCTATGTCTGAGGTGAGTGTAGGATGGAAGAGGATTGACGTGAGTTGTGGGAACTGTAGGGTTGTGTTAGTGCCCTCAGACACATCAAAGGGGAGCCAACACCGCTGACACTCAGACAAACACATTCTACAGTGCTAGGTTTCCCAGTTACATAGATTCATTGGAGGCAAAGGCCATGTGTATCAGCAATAACTGTTACAACTGATATGTGAGAAACCTACCATTAACACTGCACAGAAATTGTGCATGCATGTTCCTGAATCCAATTGTCTTTTTAAAAATTAATACTAACCAAGCAAAAACTCACATTACAACATATTTTACATTAAGCTTTATTTAGTAAAACTGGCAAATGCGTAAATATAATAACATAAAGCTCCAAATCGTTTAGACTGATCAACAAACAACCTCGTCATTCAGTCAGAAATGTGGTAACAAATGATAAGTAAGACGTGACCTTGACCTCTAAACCTTGTACAGGTGTAATTAACAATGGAGACAAAATCAAACTTTACTTTAGGGTTATATTTGTGACACAAGACAATGTTTCCAGGAACATTATTGTCATCTAATAACCAAGAGCCCCTGCAGGAAATGGGCCTCTTTATCTTTTTTTTTATTTGTACATTATCCAGACTTTTTCAGTATTTATATGCTTTTATTGGTTTGCAATTCAATCTTTGTAACATTTGGATAAACAATGAAAATTCGAATTAATATAAGTTGATTGATTGCATACAATTAAGTATTCTGTTCCTTTTTTGTACCAAAGGTCTGATAAATCTCCTTCATTTCTTTTAATTCACAGATTGGAGATGAGAACCTTTTAAAAAATGTATGCTTATAAAAGCCTTAATTGGGTATTAAATTTTCAACAAGATACAATCAAGTTTTTAAACAAGATACAAGAGAAATAAGAATACTTTCCAAACCTAGAGTACATCTGTGGTAATATTGATTAAATCATAAAAATACAGACATTTGACTACCGACTCTTTAACAGTAATATTGATTCTTCTGCCTTCTGGCGGAGCAACTGTATGTTAACATGAACCTGTACTAATTAGGAAGTTAAGGACTGGAGAAGAACATCAGGATATTTAACATTGACCTTTAACAATTACCTTTACCTTAAATGACAGTACCTGGAAATAAGTATGTGACCCCAGGCTTAGCTGAAATTTAGACTGGCATTAAGGAGTTGTAGCACGTTATGACCACATCATTTTCATGTGTGGGCGTTGATAGATGGATGGGCATTAAAACCTAACAGGCAATCAACATTTATAACGCTTTTAAATTTTGTAACTCTCATATACATGTTCTTCAATAAATCATTGAGAGACTGGATAAACGTCTTGATAATGTTCACAAAAAAAAGTTTCATCATAATAAGATTATGCTGCATAAAGACATTCAGTGTATTGTAAAAGTCATAACTCCCTCATCCAATGTGATGTTCATTGCCTAACCAGCTTTCTCAACATCTTCCAAAACAAACACCAATGATTGTAGAGAATGGAAAGAAAACATACACCATCAGCATCTTTGCCAAAGAGGGCTAGAAATCATCAGAAGGTAACTTTCTGTCACAATATTTAGGTTGGCTACATAGACTTTGTAGAGATTCCATTGGTCCACGGAGCCGACACAACATAACAACAGTCGCTGTGGTAACAGCTGTTAGGGTAGTTGTAGTAGCCAACAGCACAGGAAGTGCATTAACCCGTGGGTGGAGAGGTATATCTCTGTCAGAAACACATATTACAACAACAGCGCAAGATGGAACTCTGATGCAGATGCAATGTGCATCATCTCAATTTGCAGGAAACCTGTTTTTTATCACTTGCAAATAAAATATAGAGTGTGATTAATGACACAAATATGTTATTTTTTCTGTAATATATCACCAGTATGATAAAAGCCTTTTGTAACTAAATCCATCGAGAGAGCAGAAAAGTGACAATAAAATCTGAATTCTGCGCGAAACACAAGATCAACTTCCTATATCAAAGAAGGCATTTTTTTTTTTGTACCATTCTTGCATAATCACGTGGATTTTTTTTTTATTCTGATAGTCAATTTCATGTTTTATCTCTTATGCGTCTAAATTATCCTAAATTTTAAATTTGATTTAAGTAGCCTTGTCTGAAGGCATAAAAAAAACACTAAAAATGATTCGACTTTTACAGATTGTAAATACATGTACCTCTAATTCAGTCAAACACAGTGAATCAGATATGACCCACACAAGGTATTTTTAAGCCGAATGTTTTTTCCTATCTTTTTTATTGTTTGATGAGATTACAAGTGCCACAGTTTGCAGCTACATTGCAATATTAGAAGGAGCACATGCATCACATACGTAGCGCATTCCTCCAGAGCTTTACGGCCTACCACTCATGTTACTATAGATTTACACTAGAGCACATCTGTCCCTGTCAATTCTAGGGCCACTAAAGCCACATTCTTACAGAGCCTACATGCACAACATATAGCATGACCTTGAAGTTCTTACTCATGTTTAATGTTATTTAATTCATAGGTTCCAAAATACTCCTGAATTATCTGATATTACATTCTATATCTGATATTACATTATATATCTGATATTACATTCTATATCTGATATTACATTATATATCTGATATTACATTATATATCTGATATTACATTATAAGTCACAGTATTTTTCTCAAGTATTTAGGGTTCAACTTAAATCAGAAGTTTTTCGGAGCATGTTAGATTTTATAACAAGGTAACTTGCATCTTTTTTCTCGTTTTTACAAGGGGTTCAAGAGCCTACTGGTATATATGGTGAGGTCTACATCATTCTGCTTCCACTTAAACAAGAGGTCCCTGTCGCAGACCTAATAAATTTTGATAGATTTAAAACTCTCTGATTCCAGTATATAACTCTACCTTACATTTGTAATACTGGTAGTTAGTGATAGAATAACTTGGACATTCCAGTATACCCATCTTATTTATGGTTTATCATTTTTAATGATTTAAAGCTCAGATGTGACTACTCCACCCCGAACTAACATCACCTGGTCAACAAGAGTAATTAATATAAGATAAAATAACTTTTTTCATAATTGTTATAAAATACAGAAAGTTCGTAACACACAAACAACCAGAAAGTGTACTTAGGTACGTTGCAAAATATTAATCATGTACTCAGCGAAGACGAAACCTCTGCTTTCCTTGAAGTGTCCCCAACACCATGTAAACTATTTTGTCTCAACTTTAAAACTTGAACATAAATGATTTTTAGACTCTGATCCAGGCTATTCTTAGTCAAATCTCATGTGAAATTATTTAAGGGACAACGAAACTCATTCATGGTGTTAATGACATGGGGTAAGTAAATTGAACACTTTCATGCATCGTTTTAGCAGTTGGAGATCTCCATTCTTGAAAGTACTCAACAATTTTTATTCCCATGTTTTCTGTTAATATACTGATTATTAACCAAAATTCTATGAAAAACTACATGTTATCTGAGAGAATTTCAAGGCTATAACAATATTAAATCATGTAACACTAAAACAACATTACAAGTATGCATACAAAGCAGCTCCTATGGGCATAGGGATGGGAGATCTTTTCAAGCTGAGTCCAGACAACATTAGATAAAGGCAATACATCACAGTGAGCTCCCAGTAACTACTTACTAATATATATGATATCGGTGCAATCAGGCCTAGCCCTGGTGTATGTAGCCTATCATCAGCACCCTCCTCAGCTCCTGTCTAGATTTACCTAATCCATACAACTTAACCCCCTCCCAACCAAAACACTGGGAGGAAAATTTCTTTTTTATGAGCATCATCTGTAAGTTATGTGTTCTGTGCTCATCTTCAGATCAAGTGCCCTGAGCCTTGTTAGTTTTAATACAGTAGTTACAAATACCTATCGTAACATTTATCAATGTCTGCTATAAAACTGATTCTTTTCTCTTTCTATATCCTTGCAACATTATGCTTAGAGATGTATAGCCTGGATCCGAGTCTTAAAAGGTTTCATTTATGTTCAAATTTTAAAGTTAATACAGTGCACTAAATCTATTTCAGAATTTCTGTAAAAAAAATCTTTTAATATCTTTTTTTATGATTTTAACATTTTTCATTGTCAGAAAAAAAGGCATATGATGGACAGAAGACTTATGACTTTTTTACTTTAATTATTTTACAAAAAAAACCTCCATCAGCTTTATATTTCATTAGGAAAAAGGAATTCTAATATAATTCAAAGTAAAAACTGAATGTTGAGGAATTTAGTGTTTCGAAAAAGCCCTCATTTAATGGAAAGTAATAATAACAAAAAGTACAATAAATTGACTGCTTTAAGATGTATATCAATCTAACTTGTAGCTTTATAGAAGCACCACACAATGTGCTGAATCTCCTGACTGTAACTCTCCCTGTGCCTCCCTTCACATCCAAAAATGCCTGGCCTAACATTCAGGGCCTTCCACAAATTACATATCCGTTGAAAGAATAAAAGTTACCTTATCCACACAATTATTTTTGTTCAGGCAGTGAATGTCATTCTCATATCTACGATCTACCAAAAGACAGCTTTTTTACATAGATAGAAAGAAACAAGATTCCTACTCCATCTCGGTCTAGTGAGAGGTACAAATCACACCTATCTGGAGAGTAACATTAGCCCTCTATACCTCCTCCTCCCTCTCTACCTCTGATTTACGTGACATTTACCATACAGCTGATAAGGCACCGAGCAAAGGGTGGTGGCGAGGGTATAACAACACCATAATATTCACAAATATCAAATTCCTGTTAAAACTTTTCTTTGAGCAGAGTTACTTTTTCAAATGTCCTAAAGCAGTATTCATTTTTATTTAATTGGTAGCATTATAATAAAGTCGGTACACATACCGGTTAACTTTACAACAGTGCAGAAATTCTTCAAAAAATTATACAAACTTTTTGTATATCTATTGAAGTACTGTGAACAGACTTCTGGGAGTGACATATTTTTTTTAAATGAAAACAAAAGATTATGGATTTGCACCTTTAATTCTGTCTATATTTTTTCCAAAAAGATGTTCCCAATTACTTTAGACCAGACCTATGCATTGTCACTTTGTGATTTACTCAAAAAGATCTAAACAACACGATTACCCACTGAGCGAAATACTTACATTACGTAAACTTAAGGTTTACAAAGTAACCTAAAAAGGTTCTCATGTATTTATTTGAAGATTCAAAGAGTTAACTGAAGACTTACCTAGTGGATAGAGGACTTACCAATTGAGCTGAATATTTACCCAGTGAGCTGAAGACTTAAAGAGTGAGCTGAAGATTTATCCAGTGAGCTGAAGACTTAAAGAGTAAGCTGAAGGTTTACCCAGTTTGCTGAAGGTTTACCCAGGTGGATTGAGGACTTAAAGAGTGAGCTGAAGATTTACCCAGTGTACCCAGTGAGCTGGAAACTTACCCAGTGGATTGAGGACTTACCTGGTGAACTGGAGATTTACCCAGTGAGCTGAAGACTTACCAAGTGACACAAAAACTTACCCAGTGAGCTGAGAAGTAAATCCCCACAAATTTCCCTTTCAAGTGTTCTAGAGCATCACATTCTTCTTTAACATTGTTTATAAGTTTGCCACTCATAACTTCTGTGAATTTCTTCCTCCTCCACGGAAACTCACAGCCCTCAGGGTCTTCAGTGAGACGCATGTAGCCATCTGTAGTTATTTTTTTCCCTGTTTCTCCATCTAATAATACAAGCTTGGGGATGCCTTGTACCCGGAACTTCTTGGCCAGCTTACCCTGTAAACAAGGAATGAAGATGTAGAATACTATCAAACGGACAGACCACCCTCTTTAAGCTAGAAAGGTTTATAAGATTTCAAATCTTAACCAACATACATGTATCTTATAAAATATAAAAGATATCTTTTATGTATATATACGTATGTAGACATAAGATATCAACACAGCAAATATATTTGGTAATCACTAATATTTTTAAACCTTCCGACCATCTTCCGGGGATTAGTTTTAATGCCTTGGTTTTCAATATTATAATACAACTAGAAATTGTTGGCTAACAATTTGGTGGGCTTTTCACCCCTGTATTGACTGATTTGGCCTTCTAATAATAACCTGTGCAAGTCTACAGTAGCTGACTGAGTGGTGTGGGATTCCCCCGGAGTGCGAACTAACATGGTCAGGTGATTGACTATCAAGTTTGAAAAAATGATTGACTTTGAATGACTTTCAAGGTCACAGAGGTCATATATGTAAAAAATATTGAAACCTCTTTTTCTGAATGAGCAATAATTCCAGGGTAACGATGTTTGGCAAAGAAGCATGCTTGAATGAAGGGCTTTAAAGTGTGTGCAAATAAATGACCTTGACCTACTCTAAATCTAATTTCAAAGGTGAAAGTCAAAAACCGTTTTCATTTTTGTGCGTTGTCAAGTGCATTCAGTACTCTCAGTACTTTGATTTTTATCAAGACATCTAATACACGCTGGTAATACTACATCGATTACTACGCACTCCCAATCTCAAAAATATGGACAGTTTACATCTCTCCTGCGGTGGGTAAACATCAGCCTTTCTTTGGCGTGGCAACCCCAACCGATATAGACACAAAGATAGTTTCAATAAACGTCCCGACGTACATAGTGGACGAACTATATGACGACATTTACGGACTTCATTCGTATACAACATCGCTCATTGGCTGCCTATATTCATCCATTCTTTCTCTGACGTCAAGGTATCAAATAGTAGGACTCTAGACCTTGTAGAACTTTAGAAGAAGTTTTTTGAAGTCATTATCTTGAAATAGCACATATGAAGTTTGTGACCTTGATTGTGACCCTGATAGTTGATCAATGTCAACCATTTTTTCAAACCTGATACCCACACATTTTATAATCTTAAATATGAAATATCAAGACTCTAGACCTTGTGGAACTTGAGAAGAAGATTTTTTAAGGTTGGTACCCAATATAGTGCCTTTTAACTTTGACCCCTGCCGAAAACCGGAAGTTGACATTTTTTGTTAAAACAGTATAGAAGAAAAAGTTTGCTCTTGCCTATCTCTATGTGATATCCAAAGATCAACCTCGTGTTTGATATCGTTAACGAATTATATTGGTAAAGGCTGTTAACCAATCAGAGTTTGTGGTGGCCATCTTGGAATATTAATTGCTCCAAAAAGTAACATAAGTTTGTAAGGGTCCCTTGAGGAATACATTTATTAATTGTGGTTAATATTGCAATGGCAAAATTGTAGAAGAAGATTGTTGAAGTTTTAACATATTCTCAGCATTTTAAAAGATCAAAGGAAATATTCAAAATGGCGTACAACGTTAACGGAATGACATTCTTCATCGATCTATTGAAGAATTCTTTAAAAAAAAAGAAAAATGAATATTTTTTAAAAATTGTGACCTTTGACCCAACAGCGAGCTTTTTTATTTGACCTATTAAGTAATAACATACAATGGAAAAAAGTTAGCCCTGAAGATTATCTACATATAACATCCGTGCATAAAGGCTGTAAATTCAACCATTTTTGCGTTATAGCCATTTTAAGAGTTTGAGGTATGACGTCATGGCGGCCATTTTGTTTTTTTGATGAAGTTGAAAATGTTACCAAATGTTAGAAGACAACTGGGGAAACTTTTCCCGTTACAACTAGACGAAATATTTGTCATTGATATTGGAGTAAAACAAGTTTTAAAATATTGTGAAACTTTTAAGAGATCAAAGGAAATATTTCAAAATGGCATACAATGTTAACGGAAAATGTAACAGAATAACTAAAGACACCAAATTCATCAGAATGGCATTTTACATTGATCTATAGAAGATTTTTTCAAAAATAATGAAAATTTAATGGTTTTAAAAAAATGGTGACCTTTGACCCAACAGCGAGCTTTTTAATTTGACCTTTTTTCAAAATTACAGACCAACCAAAATTTTAGCCCTGAAGATTATCTACCTATAATATAATTGCATCAATTCTGTAAATTAAACCGTTTTTGAGTTATGGCCATTTTAAGATATTGAGGTATGACGTCATGGTGGCCATATTGGATTTTTGACCTTCTTGAAAATGTTCCTGGAACATCTTCAGACCTTGGCCTACAATATACTTAATGGACTATAAACCTGTCTTTTACCAATCAAAAGATACAGACTCCACAAAAGTATGGAAGAAGAATAAGAATAAGAATCATAACAAAATTAAAACAATAGGTCTTTTCACCAGTTGGTGAAAACCCCTAATAAGGGGAGATAAAAACGTTATTGTTAGAATGTTGTAACTTAAACATGAAAAGTAAGGCTTGAAAACATTAGCGATAATCAACTTTATTTGCAGTGTTGGTTTTTTATGTCAACATATTTAACTGATACATTTGTACATACAAAGTCTTGATAAAGTTGTCATCATTTTATCAACTTAAGTATTGACATTTTTCCTTCAATGAAGGTGAGGTTGGCACACTGATATAACTGGGGCTGTAATTCATTCAGGAGCATTTACTCTCGCAGAGTCATAAAAATAAAAAATTGGATCAAATACTGATAACGAAACTAAAGATGTTTTAATAATACATCTGTGACAGAAAGTGAATTAACATATTTTACATGACATACAGTAATTAAACCAGCACATACTGAGTGGGGTGTTTAATACAACAAATAAGGTATAAAGACAACATGCAGTATCAGTACATCAGAGAATCAGATATTCTCAGAGAAAGTGGAGAAAGCATGTCGTTTTTTGAAGTAATTTTAGATTGGAGAATCGTCTCATTACACAGTCTGTATGATCTGTGCAGTGGCTTGATCACAGAGCTATTTACGTAGGATGTACTGGATCCATCCTGTACTTTTATATCATTACTACTGATACACTGCAAGCTGCACTCTATAGATCTGCACTGCATGACAACATATAAATCTCTCTGGAACTGGAAGGCCCACACTCACACACAGGGACCTGGACATTTGTTACAGCTGCTAGGTTTGGACCTAAACTGTATTCAAAGTAACATATAAACAGGGACCTGAAAATTCATAACAACAGTTATGTTTGGACTGATATGGTCAGAGTAATATCAGATGTTGTAGGGGTTTAGATCAATTCTTCTTGAATATATTTACCAGAAGGGTGGAAGGCTCTTAATTTTGAAAATTCAATCCAGCATTCATGTTTTTGAAATTGAGAGCAGCTTTCCACCCTTCTAGTAAATATATTTAATCATTGGAGGAAGGCATTTTTACAAAGTGTTGACCTAAACATTTAACATGTCTAATCGATATTACTCTCTACAGATTGCCAATCACGAGTTGTTACGATTACTATAGCCATCCACCACTGGGTGGCAGATTCGAGGCCTACGTTGAGCAGTTGCCAAGTACTGGCCACAGGTCGGTGATTTTTCTCTGGTTACTCCAGCTTTCCTCCACCACCAAAACCTGGCATGTCCTTAAATGACCATCGATATCGCTGTTAATAGGATATAAACGCAAGCCAACCAAACCAAACCAAGTCTCTACATATCTAAATAGATCCAAACATCCAAACTGTGACGGACTCTCAGGTCCCTGTGCACTCACCCCTCCAGAGGATCTCACACAATGGTGGGTAGTGTGGCTTAGAAGTTTTAAACCAGCCATAAATTATCCAATAAAGACCAGTGCCTTCACTCACTCACTCATCATTACTCATTAATGGGACAAATCAATGTCAACTATTAATTTTTTAATAGAACTGCAAAGGCTTACACAACACTGCATATATGTGAAGTAATCAGATGGAAAAATGTATTACCAGGATTTTTTATGACATTGGTATGATTTGAAAAATGATCAAGTGACAGAGATCAAATTACAGGCTTGGGACGGCTACGTTATGGATTTCATCTTGTGCAGATCATTGTTTTGGTTTGACATATGGGCACACACAAAGAATCCATACTGGTAATTTCAGATTAACAATTCTAAATTATATTAATAATAAAAGTTGGCTGAAAAACGATATTGAAAATATCAGCAATATCAATGATGTGATATAATAGTGCAATTTTTATTTGTTAATTAAGGTTTTATAGATTATATCTCGGGGCAGAGCAATAGTCCACAGAGGTGACCCAGACAGCCAGAATCAATATCCCAGCCGAATCTTCCTGAAGGTAGAATGAAACAATTTGCAGATTAATCCTTGTCACACACTGCTAAGACAACACTAAAAGAATCAGGATTGTATAGGTTAGGTTGAGTGAAGGGAAAGTCAGGTTTTTATAGGTTAGGTTGAGTGAAGGGAAAGTCAGGATTTTATAGGTTAGGTTGAGTGAAGGGAAAGTCAGAATTGTATAGGCATTAAAAATACAAATGACTGAAACATAAAAACTTTTTAGAGTAAAATAATGTTTCAAGAGACACAACTGAGGAACGGGAAGCCACAATCAACATGTTTCTAAACATTTTCTTCACATTCTTAAGCATGGATTATGAAAAATTCTTTATACACAACTAATAATAGTTTCTATGTGACGCTTCGATGACTATAAGTACGGTATCTTTTAAAAGTCAAGGTCATCTCACTGAAAATATTGCCACATAATAGATAAAATCATGACAGGCCTACAGGTCAAACCTCTTAAATATCATTTTTTATGTTGGGATGTTTTAATGTCTGGTAGAACCCCAGGATGCAGATCTGAAGTGTTACAACCATGTACTCAATACCGTTATTGAACCGAAGCTCCCCAGGAGGCCCCCACCCATTTTAATAATATTTA